AACGCAGATCAAACCAGGGGGATAGCCAGGGTCTCTCTCTTCGTGTCCACTTCCTCCGTCCATGCCTACTGCTGTCTGTGCTGTCCCTCCCTCATGCCACCCATGCTCTGGCATTCATGCACATGCTGTGAAAACATGGAGCGAAACGCTCAGGGGAGGGGGGGGAAGTTTTTTCAGCCAGGGGATGTGGAGAAAAGCTGAGCTGGGGTGTTCAGCACAAAGCTGGGCAGTGGCTGGCGGAGGGGAAGGAATGTGGGCAGCAGCAGAACCATTCAGCTCCAGCACAACAGCGTGAAAAGGCAAAAAGCTCCAAGGAAAGCCCCCCGGACAATGGCACACAAAAGGCCTTTAGTTCTTCAGGGCAGTTTCTTCACCATCAGCATTTTCCATGCCCATCCCTGGCTGTGGGCTCTGCACTGCAGAGCACCCACTGCACCTCCCAGTCCCTCCCAGTCCACCCAACAGACATGTGAAGCTGGATGCCAGCCCTGGGCTCGCTGGCAGCCCTGGGCTGTGTGGTGGGAGGCAGTGGCTGGCAGGCTCTGTGTGTGTGTTTTAGAGACACAAAGGTAGGAACTGCAAGAGGCTCCACCCATATTGTGCTGATGTGGTGGCAAACCCAAGGTGTGTGCCAGGTGCCAGCCTCCTCCTGCCACCCTTCCCTGTCTGCTGCCAAGCATCCTCCTCCAGCTCCTCCCTCGGGAACCCCACACTCCTCACCGAGTCTCCTTTCCAGGTGTGTCCCCGTCTGAGATTTTAGCCCCTGCCCTGTACCACGGCTACTACATCAGGCCTCGGATCAACAAGCAGCTGGACCGGGGCACCTCCGAGATCTGCCTGAACGAGCACAAATTCCAGGTGTTCCTGGACGTCTGCCAGTTCCTGCCGGACGAGCTCAGCGTCCGCACCGTGGACAACCTGCTGGAGGTGGTGGGCCAGCACCCCCAGAAGGCTGATCGCCACGGCTTCATCTCCAGGGAGTTCACCAGGACCTACATCCTCCCCCTGGACGTCGACCCCTTGCTGGTGAGGGCCACCCTGTCCCACGATGGCATCCTGAGCATCGTGGCTCCCCGCTCCGGCAAGGAGCTGAAGGCCAAAGTCAACGAGGTGAAGATAACGCAGGAGGAGCAGCCAGGGGGGAAAGAAGAGCAGCCTGAGGAAGGGAAAGAGAAGGAGAAGTCCTAAAGGCCCCAGGTGTGGGCTTGCACTGGGAAGGTGGGGGGGACAGGGATGGGGAATCCACGGTGACAGACTCGTGTTTCTCACCAGCAGTGTTTAGCAGGGCTCTGAGGCAGCCAGACTGCTGCTTCCCCAGGCTGATGGCTGGAAAAAAGGGACTTGCAGCGGAAAACAGGGGGGAACTGAAGTGCTAGTGTGAGGGAGTGAGTGTAATGCGAGTTTTCTCCTAGCTCAAGTGCTCATGGAGCAGCAGGCAGGGTGCACTTCTCTCACCCCAAAAGACCAGGGCCACTCTTACCCCAAACTGTGAGGCTGTGCCACAGTGGACTGTGAAACAGCTGCTGTGCTCTAGCCCAGGAGGGAAGAGGGAAGAGATGATCCCAGTGCCTTGCCTCTGAGCTGGTGGCTGAGCTTTGTGGACACGGGAGGTGCTTGTTGGTCTGTAAAAGTGCCTGCAGTTCTCAGGAGGGAGGAGGAATAAACCTGCCTCTGGTCTTCTCTTGCTTGCCTTGGGTTCCTGTTGCTTCTGGCCTGCAGCAGGAAGGATGGACAGTGCCTCAGCTGTGGAAATGGCATCAGTGGTGACATGGAGGGACTGTGGGGCACCCAGGGGCACCTCTGTGATTCACCTCCTGGCTCAGGGGCAGCTGCAGGGTCTGTTGTAGGGAGCCCTTAGTGGAGCAGCCTCAAGGACAGAAGGTGCAGAGTGATGAGCTCCTGGAGGGTCCCTGTGCATCCCCAGAGCTGCAGGTGGGATTAGCCCAGGTAAACTAATGCCATGGTCTCTGTTTGCCTCAGCCCTCTGCTTTGTGGGGCACCGGGCTCGTTCACACACCCACCTTCTCAGCCCTTGGGAGGGGAGTGAACCCCAAAATGCTGCAGGGAAAGGCTCTGCTCAGATTCCCCCAGAGGGGGTGGCTCTGGCCCCTTTGCAGGCGCTGTGGTGTCACTGACTGGCTGCATGAGAAATGTCCCCGTGGCCTCGTGGTGCTGGGCCAGGATCGGGTGAGCTGCTGTCGGGGCAGCTGCTGCCCCGGGCGGCCCCAAGGGCTCAGCAGGTGCCAGCTGCAGCCCTTGTCTCGTCAGAGCCAAGTAAAGCAGGCAAAATGCTGTGTCAGTGCCTAAATATGGGGGTCCCTGGCGTGCCTCAGGGCAGCTCTCCCTCAGACACCCATGGGGATATAACTTCTCCCTCTCCCTGCTGGGATGTGCCCTGCAGGACTCTGCCCTCTGCCTCCACGGGTACCTGGGGCCAGCAATGCCCTGCTCAGGGTTCTGTCCCAGGCAGCACATCCCCTCTGCTGCTGGAACTACACAGCTATTTTCTGCTCCTCAGGGCCCCTGGCAGCAGGGAGGATCAGAGGCAGATTAAGAGCAGCCCTGTCTGCTGGCTCAGGACCCAGTGGGAGGGTGGCTGAGCCTCCAGCCCTGGTGCAGATCAGGTACCACACTCAGTCTGGATCCCTGGGGGATGCCCTTACTCGGGAATTGGAAGCAGACAAGCTGCTGCCAGTGAGACACTGTCAAAATAGAAATATAACAGGCATTGTCTAAGTCCTTAATAATAACTACAGAGATAATTCTGGGCTGGTGGCTTTCAGTCACCTGAAGCAGCTGCATCCCAGTCACCCAACACCCACCCAAACCCCCAGTCCAAGGAGGGCTGAGTTCCCAAGCCCAAATCCCTGTGGGGAGGGCAGGGACCTGTGTCTGTGTGTGGGCTCAGGCAGGGCCATCATTTCCTTAGTCCCCCCTCATAAAATGTGTTTTCAAACTCAGAGACTCTCCAGGGCAGCAGCTACAAAAGGCTTTTCTTTGCCTCTGACCTGGCATCTCCCGTGCTGGTAAGAAAGGCTGATGGTCCCCTCTCTCACTGCACATTTCCTGTCACTGGGATGAACTTCCTTCCCGGGAGTGGGGAGAGGGAGGATGGCCAACATATGACCCTCAGGTTGGGCAAAGGAGGGCACATCCACACCCAGTGCAGACTTGGCACGTGCCAGAGCATGAGATGCTGCCTGGGCAGCACGAGGGCTGCAGGTTGCTGGAGCACTGGGGGCTGAGAACAGGAGCTGGCCAGGGCTGGGGCTGCACTGGGAGTGCCCTTGGGCACTACTGCCATAGAAATGCCCAGCATGAGCAGTCACCACACAGTTCTGTTCCCCCCTCCAGCTTTTCCTCGCCCTGTCCTTGCTCTGCCATGAGTTCATTCTCCACTGCTGGGCCCCTGCAGGCTCACCCTGTGCCAGTCTGACAGCCTGTCACCCAGACAGCTGCCCTGGGCAGGGCTGCAGAGAGAGGGGCTGGCACTGCCTGGTGTCAGCCAGGGCTGTTCCTCTGCCCCCTGGCAGGCTCTGCTCCACAAGCCTGCTGGCTCTGCCCAGCAGGATTGCTGGAAGCCATGCTTTCTTTCATCCCTGCAGACACAGCCTGAGGAGGGAATGCAGAGTGGCAGCCAAGCACTCCCCGGCCCTGCCAATGTTTTTGATGCCTTTCTGTTTCTCTGGTGGAGCTCAAAGCAGCAGCTCCAGTATTTGTGAAAGAGGCTGATGGGAACAGGCTCCCAGCCCTTTTTTTTTCTTCCTTCCCCACAAAGCAACAAAGCCCAAGTTATCCCAGAAATCAAAACAGCCACTGGTTCACTAAAACAACAGTGTCTGTGGCAAAGCCAGAGACACACAGTCTGCAACTTCCCAGGCAGGGACAGGCTCCTGAGACCACCTGGTCTTTGCAGGACCCTGAGAACACGGTCCTGTTGGCATCAGGACTGAATCCCAGCTGCCTGCACAAGTCCTAACTTCTCCCTGGGGTGCTGTGGTGCAGACTGGGATGTGCCATCTCTCCAGGCACGTGATGAGGAGCAGTGTCAGAGCAAGGCTTGGGCTCTGCAGGTCACAGCACAGCTCATCCAGGACTCAGCCCAGAGAGCAGCTCTGCCCTGTGGCCCTTCCAAAGAATGATCCTTCTCCTCCTGCCACTCCTGGACAGGCACAGGGTTTGCTCTGCACTTGGGCAGGTGATAAATGATGCTGTGAACCTTGCTGAGAGCATGGGCACACCTGGAGGAGGGGACTGGGGCCAGTTCCTGGCACAGCCCACCAGAAGGGTGAATTAAAACTCACCCCCTTGTCAGGACACCCCATGAGGGACTCAGAGCTGCACAGAACTGGGTCTGTGCCAACTCACAGCTGTGGGGCACAGGTTCTGCTCAAGAATGACATTCACATGGTATCTTTTGGAATTGAGCATCACTCCTCCCAGTGCTGCCTGAGACTGGGTACCAGGATTAGCCCAGGAATGACCAGCCAGAGTCTGAAGGGCTCTCAGAGGAGTAGAGGGATAAAATACACGTTCATGTTCCTGTTTGCCATGCTGAGGGTGAGCCTGAGAGCTGTACTGCAGGCCCTTAATGACGTGAGGTGCCTCATGGGATTCTGCCCTGCTCAAAAGCACAACACTGCACACTTTCACCCAGGGAGCTGTAAGAAGAGTGGATTTCCACCAGTGTCCCTGGGGTTGCAGGTCAGGAAATGAGAGCAGACCTGCCAGCCCCCTCTTGCTGGGCCTTCCCAAGCAGATTCCCTCTTTCCCAGGTGATGCCAGCCCGTGCCACGCATTTTTCTGACATCCTGCTGGCATTGCAGGGATGAGCAGCAGGAACGGCACTGAGGGCTCCCACTCTGGGGCTTCTCCTTTTGTTCGGGAACATTTGAAGTCCCTCCTCCGTCCCCTTTTGCATCACTGCTGGCATCAGCGGGATGGCGCCGGGGGCAGAGAGGGACAGCGGCCACTGCGAGAACCAGAAAACAGAGTTTTAGCCCCGGGGGTGAAGCCCTGGGGGCACGCTCGACCTTGCCCCCTCCTCCCCGGGTGAGCAGGGGGCGATCCGGGCCCCGGGGGCCACCCCCGGTCGATGCCACACGGGGCCAGCACAGCCCCGTGCAGCCCATGGAGAGAAACCCGACACTGCCAGACACTCCCTTGGAATAGCCAGGGGCCGAGCAGGAACCAGGAAATACAAGCTCTCCCTGTCCAGAGAACGCTCCAGCTCCATGGGGGAAGGAGCGACATGGGCAACCTGTGCAGCTGCGGGCGCCCGGGGTGAGTGCGGCGCGGGCGGGGGCGCGGAGGGCACGGGAGGCTCCGGCGCTTCGGGAGGATTTTGGGAGCTTTGCGTCCTTGTGCTGCTTTGCCAGGGGCTCCCCCCCTGGCTCCCAGCCCCGCTCCCGGTCGCTCACCCCGGCACCGAGGAGGGAGCGGGGGTCACGGCTGGGGGGGTGTAGAGGGAGGTGCGGGGCAGGAGGGGAGAGGAGACGAGGGGCTTTGCTGTCACGTCTCTCAGCCCCGACGGGCTGTGCCACCTCCCCGCAGTGCCAGCTTGGGCTCCTGCAGCAGCTCTGGGAAGGAGCTGCTTCAAACCTCTGTCCTCGCCCCTCCGGGCAGGGAGACACCCCAAGGTGTCCCTTTGTCGCACTGCTGGGAGGGGTCCTGGGGTTCAGCCACCCCCTATTCCAGCCCCTCTCCGCTATTCCAGCCCCTCTCCCTGCCTGCGGCTGTCCGGGCTTTATTTACGCTCTGGAAACCCTGGCCCCGTTCTGGAGATGCTGTCGCTGTCTCTCCCTGGGAGGGACGGAGGGAGGGTGACACTTTAATCCCTCCTGGGTCGCGCCGTGCCCTGGACCTCCCGCTTGCAGAGAAAGGGCACAGTGGAGCATCACTGGGTGCCAAGTGGAAATATTTTCGGCTCTGAGCGTGGAACAAGGGGAAGAGCCGTGAATGTCAGAGTGAAGCTCCGAGGACGTTCTCTCCAACACCGCGTTTGTTAAAAGTATGAGAAATTCATCGGCGGTTTTTAATAATTCCAAGCGGCACAGCATCACCTAGTGGAGGAAGGTTCAGGACGCCGAGGTCCTGCCAACCTGAGCCCTGAGCTGGAGGGCCGAGGAATTTGGGATTTAGGAAGAGGAGGTGGGGGGTGGAAGGCTGGGTCTTGATGTGTCACCCACCAAAACTCCCATTTTATTTCCTCTACCCTGTGTTGGAGGGTTAATGAGGTACCCAGGGCAATCAGTGAACAAAGGGCCTGACCAGGGGGTGCCTGGGGCACAGTCTGAGGTGTTTAAAGAAAAGCTATTACAGCAAATTTATTCACAGAAGAGAGTTATTGATGAATATGCCCTCGGGCCTGGGTGCCTCTGCAGTCATGACCACGGGCAGGGCAGGCTCCAGGTCGTTCTCACCACTCAGGGCACTAAAGTGTGCACAGACAGGAAAACACCCCCAAATTTAGGATTATGTAGGGCCGAAACCAGGATGGCACTGACATGGGAAAAGGGGAAGAAGCAGTGCAGGAGCAGGGACATGTGTGCTGTCACGGAGAATACAATGTGCTCCTCTCAGCCTGGGAGTTACAACATGTTTGACCCGGTTCTGAGAAGAGGGGAGAGGTTTCCCTGCTCTCGTTTCCCTTGCCACACATGTCCCAATTACTGGGAGATGCCGTCTCCTGCCTGGCTGTGCTTATCCTGCAGACAGCCCAGAATAGCTGCAGCCCACACGCTGCCTGTAATGCTCCCTCCACAAGGGGAGGGAGGCAACCAAACCAGCAGCTGATCCAGCAGCCTCCCTGGCAGCCGAGGGGAGAGGGGACCTGCTGATTCTGCCTCAAATGGGGCTGCTTTGATTGCAACCCACAGCGTGCCTAAGGGAAAGGGCTCTGGCACACAAGCCTTGCCAAGGAGGGCCCTGGAGACCCTGCACACAGTGGAGGAGGAAGGGAGAGCCAAGGGAGAACCACCACCGGACAAATTGAACAGATTGAGTTGGAAGGGAGCCACAAGGACCATCGAGTCCAGCTCTTAAGGGAATGGCCTGTACAGGGGTCAAACCCACAACCTGGGTGTAATTAGCACCGTGCTCCAACCAGCTGAGCTGATCTCAGGGTCAAAGCAGTTCTGCCTTGATGTAGCCCTCCAGACTTTGCCTGTCAGGGGCTGGAGGGCTCTCAGTGCCCCCGTGGGCAGCCCCGAGCAGGGACATGTGGAGCGGCGCCGGATCCCTGTGTGTGGCCACCCTGCCTTCCCCAGGGCTGCCTCTGCCTTCCCCAGCAGGGCTGGTTAATCATTACTGACCATTTTGAATGTCTCCAGGTTCTTTGCCTGCGTTCAGGCTGGGTTTTTGTTTTCCCACTGGAGTGCCAAAGGCATTACTGCACACGGGGGCACAGCTCTGCCTCGGGCACTGCGCTGTGGCACGACCAGCTGGCAAATGCACACAGTGTGGGACGTCTAATAGTCCTTGGAGACCAAATGGTGACCCTGCAGCCCCATCCAGCAGAGGCCTGTGAGCCCCTCAGCTGCACTGTTGGTCCGTGGCCAGCACCACAGGGACGTGTGTGCACAGGAGGAGCCATACAAGGGCTGGCACCTGCTCCCTGACCCCCCCAAACGTCCTGCACTGGTGACATTTCCTTCATGCATCTGTCCCACAATGTGACAGCACTCTCCCCTGCCAGCCCCAGCCTGCAGGAGCTCAGCTCTGGGCTCTGTTGTTACAGCTGGAATGGATTTGGCTCCTGTTCATCCCAGGGCTGGAACATATCTGTGTTTGGCTTGTCTCCTCCTGGTCACACAGGTACAGCTGAGATTAGGGTTTGGCTTGGCTAATAATAAGTGCACAGCTTGTTTGGTTTGGTTGTGCTCTAAGTGGAAAGCTGAGAACAGGAAAAACTGTCTGAACCACTGAATTAGCACAAGCTCTGTGCAGGCTGCTCCTTGGGCAGGGGAGCCAAAGCACAGGGAATGACCCCCCGAGCAGGGTTTGTGCTCTTTGAGATGATGTTCTTCTCTGAGACACTTCTTGGGCCTGTCTCACCCCACAGGTACCCGGGGTTGGGGGGGTTGGGTCTGTGTGTTGGGAGGGCAGGGGCTGGGGATTGTCAGGGCTCACCTGTCTCCCTCTGATTTCAGGAAGTGTCCTTCCCCTTTCAAAAGAAAGAAGGAAAAGCAAGGTAAGAACGGGTGAAAATGCTTTAGAGGTGGGGTGGCTGACCCCCTGCTTGGGTGACATCAGTCAGTGCTGGCTGTGGGGGGACCCCTGAGCTCCCCTCCCACACTTTTTGTGTTTAACCTTCCTCAAGAGGAGCTTGGTAGAAGCAAAAGGCAACATTTCTTTGAATCTTAAAGCAAAGGGTGTGGTGTGCCATGGGGGAGGGAAGGGACTTCAGCAGCATCTTTAGAATATCAAAGTCTCACATCAAAACACAGGCAAGTGCTCTCAGTTGGCAGCATCAGACTCCTGTAAGAGCTGCAAACATCTGCCTGACAACAGTCCCCCAGAATAAAGTGCATTCCTTAAGTAGCTCAGTTGTGTCCTGTGGCCTTTGGGCCATGCTGGGCAAAATATGTTTGTCAGGCAGCAAAGGAAATAACAAAGTTAAAACTGGATCTGACTTCTCCAAGGGCCTGACAAGGAAGCTCTCTGTGCTGTGTCTGTACTCCTGGGTTCTGCCAAGAACACTGTGGTCCACAGCATGTTGTCATCCTGGGAAACCTTATTTTTCCCAAAGAAACAAGGCCAGGCTTTCTTCTCAGGGACAGCATCAGGGCTGAGGGTGGCAGATGAGGAGGAGGTTTGATTTGTGCCCCGTGGGGAGAGCCCTTGGGCCGGGCACTGCATTGCTGCACCCAGAGGTGGGACAACAAACAGCTGTTAACCTGGTTTGCTGGTGTTTCCCTTGCAGGAACTAATGTGAGGCATGAGAGTGGACAGCAGCAGCCTGGCAGGCAGGTAACCAGCTTCCCAGAGCCTCTCCCCTGACTGTGCAGTGAGAAGGCAGAGCTGGCCCCCACCCCCTGGGCTGGATGGGCTGGGAGGACACGGGGCAGCTTGTCCAGAGCCATGAGCCCTCTCACCCTGTGTAGGCATTCCCAGCAGTGGGAACAGTGTGCAGGACACTGTTTTCCCCCCCTGGAGCGCAGTGGAAGCAGCAGGATGAAACCCCTGAGGTGTCAGAGGGCTGGCTGGGGCTGGGGGAGGCAGGGGCAGCAGCAGCCCAGGGGGCTGAGCTTCCAGAGCTTTCCCTCCCCAAAGGTTCCGACGTACGAAGATGTCCCTGATGTCCCCGTCTACGCCACGGTGAGCAAAGGCCAGGGGGTGCAGCAGGATGAGAACATCCACTATGCAGACATCCAGGTGTTCTCCAAGGCCCGGGAGCGCTCGGCGGCCGAGGTGAAGAACCTGCAGCTGCAGAATGCCACGGAATATGCCACCCTCAACTTCCCCAGGGCCAGGCTCAAGTACGACAGCAAGAATGGCACCCTGGTGTGAGAGACTGGGTGGCCTCCTCCTCCTCCTCCTTCAGCAGCAAAAGGAGTTCTCAGACTTAGAGATGCTGCAGATCCAAGGGAGCCTCGTGGACACAGGGAGACTCTGGGGGGAAGGGTCTCCCACCACAGACATTCTCCCAGCATGGGGAGTTCCCCATCTGATTCTGCTGATGAAAAAACCCCTCTTCCCCTTGGAAGGGTTGTCCCTGATGCTGGAAACCCACCTCCTGTCAGCACTGGGAGGTGGCAGAGCTGCCCCTGGGCTGGTGAAGGCTCAGAGCTGCAGGGAGGACGTCCCTGCTGTGGCACAGCTGGATCTGGGAATGTGGCACACAGAACTCAGGGCTGGGACGAGGGAGGTCCCGACACAGGGCTTTGTGTCACTGTTAAGAAAATTCTGAACATGCAGGACTGACACGTGGCTGATGCTGTGAAGAAATGAAACCTTCAGCAGCATCCACTGCAGTGTCTTCTTCCAACACCTGCCACGTGGCTGCAGCCATGCACTGTGGGCAGGCCCTTCTCTCAAAAAGCAGTGTTCTGTGGCCATGCACAGCTCTGGAAAACCGAGCCAGGAATGCAGAATTAAGGAGGGGTACAGGACAAGTCCTTTCACTGGTGGGCTGTGCATCTGTAGCCCTCCATGCACACAAGTGAGAACTGAGCTCCTGGCTCTGACTGGGAGGGAAACAAGGAAAACTGGCAGTTTAGCTGCGAGGCAACCCTGGATTTAGGGCAGTTATCCAGTCCCTAGAGTCCAGCAGCTGTCTGCATGCCTGAGATACTGGGCAACCTTAGAGAGGACTTTGGACTTTGCCTCCATTCTTCCTCATGTTGTACTGTCAACCTTAGTCATAAACCCCAGTAACAGAGAGCACACAGCACAAGGTGTTACCTGCTAACCCTCCCAGACACCCCTCTGTGTCTGTGTAGGGATCTAAAATAGTGTTAATGATGCAGCCCAGCACTGGGTTTGGCAGCACTGGCAGTGGAACAGGGCCCAGGCACTGCCTTCAGGTCCTAAATCAGTGCTTGGCACGTTCTGTTCCTCAGCAATGCTCTGCAGAGCTGGATGCAGGCCGTGGGACAACCTGGTTATTGCCAGTGTTTAAAAGTGGACGCCTTGGTACCTTTTGTATACATACATAATATTGCATATTATAACTCAGCTGAATGTAAAAAGAATGGAGGAGTTCCTGCTTGTTGCAAAAAGTTAAGCTGGTGTGGGCAGTGTTTGCTAAGGTGGAATTGTTTGAGGACCAATCTTGAACTTTTTCTGCCTTTTGGCTGTGCTGTCAGCAGGGCTGTTGTAAGGGCAGAGGAATCTGTGTAGAAGGTCCTTTTTTATAATGGATATGATATATTTTTCTCCCTGAAAAGGGGGGTTTTTTGGCCTATGCTGTGCAGCTGACCTCAGTGGGGCCATTGTAAGGGCTGCCCTTAATTTACAAGGGGTACAGGATGATGTTATTGGAAGGGCTGGCTTTGAGCTCCCTTTCCTGCTCCTCTTTCTGTACTCCACGCCCAGCATGAAACTCTTTGGGCTGAGGATGACTGAGTGGGCCCAGGGTTTACTGACACGAGTTGGAGGGAGCTGTGGGGCACTGGGACACTCAGCTCTGCCAGCCCAGTGTCAGACAGGCTGCCAGACCTGGTCCATGCTGGGCAGCTGGGATGTCCCTCCTTGCACTGACCCCTGGTACAACCAGGAAGGCTCCAGCTCCAGCCAAGCCCTCTGCATCACAGGAACAAACTGGATCTTTTTAGAAACATCATCAAACGTGGACTATAGCTCAGGAGATGGGAGGGTCTCTAGAAGGTGCAAGACTGCAACAAATGATTTTAAAAGCCAATCCAAGTGCAGACAGCCTGTTATTGCAGTGGCATGCACAGAGAATGGCACGGAAGCTTTTCCTCCCCCAGCAGCAGAGCTGGGACTGGGGACATGAAGGGACATTAAGGTCAAGCTGCAGGGACACCAGAGTCAAGGTCCTGGGCCCAAACTGGTGTATATTTGCACATCCATCACGTCAAACCAGTTCTGCCGTGGACATAAACAGGACTGGGCTTGGCTCGGAGATTTAAGTCACATTATTCAGTTCTGTTGGTCTGTGGCTCAGCCCTGCTGTGCTATGAATGGGTGGGAGCTCAGCCGTGTTTCAGTGAGAGCCTGGGCCCTGGAATGGTGGGTTATCTCCCTCTCCCTAAGGAGCTCCAGCTCTGCAGTGCTTGGGGTCGTTTCTGGAAGTGCAGCACATCTCGGAGACAATCCCATGCTCCCACCCAGGAGTGGGGATTTTTGCCTGTTTTCCAGCAGAGAAACGTGAAAGCCGCTTGTTCTGCACGACGGATTTTTTTCCGAAGGACTCGGTTTGGCACTTTTTGAACATTAAAACCCCCCGACATTGCATCTCCTGTGCCTCCCGCGGGCGTCACGCGTGGGCGTTGATGTTGATGTAGCATTAAAGGCGGAATGTTTCGTTTTTAGTGACAAACCCGCGCTCTGGGGGAGGCTCCGGGGGGGCGGTGCTGGGCTTCGGGTCCCCCCCTTACCCCAGTCCCGTTCCCGGCTCCCCGTTCGCGAGTCCCCGTTGCCGGCCCCTGTCCCGGCTGCGGGCGGAGCCAGGGACATCCCGCCCATCCCGCCCCATCGCCCCTGTCCCACGGCAACCGGAGACGCGCGCCCGCGGAGGCAGGTACGGCCGGGAAGAGCGGGTCCGGTACCCGCCGCACCTCAGCTCAGCCCATCCTGCTCATCGCGTCCCACCTCACCCCTTCCCATCCCACCTCATCCCACCCATTTCCCCCTACACCCCGGTTCACCCATCCCGTCCAGTCCACCCATCATCCCATCTCCCCCATCACCCACCCCACCCCCAGGAGTTCTGGCTGTTCCGTGTGCCCCCTCCCTCCCCAGCTGGCTCTCCTGTTCACCCCGTCCCCAGCCCTCAGCCCCCCCTGGCTCCCGGGGCTCTCCCCTTTCCCTGTCATCCCTTCCCCCACCATATCCCGGGCTCCCTCAGCCAGCCCTGCTGCTCCTGGGGCTCTCCACGCTCCAGGCCCCCATCCCACCCCCCTTCCAGGGGCACCTGGGGTCACACACCCCTGGGAGGGCTCTGGGCCTTGTCCCACACCTCGTTCTGCAGAACGAGCCCCAAAACACCTCCAGCCTGAGAGAACCCCCCTCAGCTCCACCTCTGTCCCCTGTCCTGTCCCACCCCTGCCCTTTGGATGGCCCAGGATGGCACAACCCAGTGCCCCCCTGCCCCAGGGTCACACCCCTCCCACCTTTAAAGGATTGTTAAACCCCTAATTCCTGCTGCCATCCAGTCCTTCCCACGGAACCATCCTGCCAGTGCTCCCAAACTCCCCACCTTCCCTTTCCTTTCACCCCACTTCCCTCGGGACTTCTGATGGAAGGCAAAGCATTGCATTTACTAGGAAATAAATTACTAGGAAATAAATTACTAGGAAGTCTCAGTAGGTGGAATTTTTGTCCTAAAACTGTTTATGGCTCTGTGCTGTCTGGGCTAAACGCCCTGAATCAGAGGACACCCTGAATATTTAACGCTGGGGACAGCTCTGACTGGCAGATTTGAGTGCCACTGAATTTGGATTCCCCCTCTGGAGATGGCAAGAGATGATTAAGGCCTGTGTGCAGTGTGAGACAGTGGAATCAGGAATGGGTTTTCCCTGTGTTTTAGAGGAATTCTGTCCACCAGACATACTTTCCACGGCAAAGAAAATGCAAATGTGTGTAAATGGCCCTAAGGCTGGAGCCCTTGGATATATTTTCTGCAGGAAATTAAAAGAATGGGCAATTTTCCCCCTTTGTTTTAATTATATTCAGACTTTTCTTTTTTTTTTTTTTGGTCTGTTCTCCCCGTGAGAAAGTTTTTTGCTTTTTATTTAATAGATTTGCTTTTCCCCTCAGGCTTCAAGGAGTGCTGGTACCTTCCCCTGGGGGCTGAGCTGAGCATGGGAACTGTGATGGACACGGTGCCCTGTCACCCACCTCCTGCACCCTCTGTGAGTCCCCAGGGGCCCTTTTTGTGTGTCACCTCTGGTTTGGGGGCTTGCTGGGGAGTTTGGGAGGGGACACCGGGTGACACAAAGCCATTAAGTTGCACATTTCAGTTATTTGGATGGAATTCCTGACTTGGCCTCACTTTCTTTTCTCTCCCCAACCAACATTTTATCAGCAAGGCCAGGGGTTGGGGACGTGCTGGAAGTGGCCAGGAGATGGCAATGCCACCAACCAAACTGCCACCCCGTGGGCTTGTTCTGAAGGTCACTCACAGCAGGAACACCTCTTGTGAACGTGTCCCTTTGGCATCATTGCCCCCTGCCCTTCATTTTGGAATTCCCCCATTCCCCGGGGGAAACTCGGGGAGGATTGTGGAGCATCATTTCAGTGAGAGGCTGTTCCTTCTTCTTTTTGCAGAGGGAACACTCAAAGGCACTTTATGATGCCATAAAACTGAAAAAAACCCAAACAAACCACGTTTTCTGCTACAAGAAGCTGAAAAATTTCAGAGTGAAACACAAAGGGGGAAATAGCATTTAATTTTCTAGAGTTATTTTCAGCACACACGTGCACCCAAGGTGTTCCCTTAATAATAATAATAATAAACAGGAGAATGGCTCAGCATGGCCTGCCCCTGTGCAGCCATCAGGAACAGCCTGCTTTTATTCCCTCACATTCCCATTGTCAGACCCAGGCAGCTCTTTTCCAAGATAAGAAACCCCACGCAGAAGCAAATCTCTGATGCCAAAACCTCTGTACCCGAGCCTGGCACACAGAAAGAGAACACTTTGCTGTGTTGCACTTTTCTTATGTAGCCCTGAAAAACAGATAATAAAAATACCAAATATACAATTGTAATAAATGTACTGTAAGAATATTATAAATATCAATATATTAATATTATGAACAAATATAATGTAACAAGTAAATATATATATAATAAATTATTAGTCAGCAAGAGCATTATAAACTCCACAGAAAAGGCTCTGTTTGTTTTTGCTTCAAAATTAGGTCACTTTCTGCCTGATGGGGAAACCACTTAGTTTTTCCAAAATATTTTAGTGAAATTACAAAGGCACAGGCTACTCGATTGCATCACAAAGAGATGGGGATAAATATTTATTGCTGCCTATTTAATGGCATTTCGAGGCTCCAGAGTAAACTGGATCAAGGGACCAACCCCCAGCACTTCCAGCTTACGAGGTTTTATGCAAAGCCTCCCAGTAATCTGTTGTTTTGCTTCACAGATGTGGTATTGCAAGCGATGAAAACACAAAAATCTCCATTCCCGGGGAATCAGGAGCGGCGGGGAAAGCAAACATGAATAATTTAAAGCTCGTGTGTCACGGAGGTGTGGGGGGTGACTCCTTTTGGAACGGCCTGGCTTGGTTACAGAGGGGAATTACCTGTTGCTCTCTCCCTGGGTTTCAGCCGCCTCTCCCCGTGTGGAAAATGGTGAAATTACGTTTTTTCCTCGTGATGCTTCAACAGTTAGGCAGAAAAAAACCATGTTTTTAAACGTGTCTCTCGCTTAGAAGTGCTTGGCCGGGTCTTTGGGACCTGGGGCCGCGGGTCAGTCCCCGCAGCGCTCCTGGGCAGGCACAGCCTCTGCCTGGAGCCTCTTCACCCACTCCCACAGGGATGTCTTTCCTTTTTTCCCCTTTTCCCCCGGGCATTTCCTGTAAGGTGATACGAGCCTGGAGAGACATCCGATACTTACTCCCGGTGTGAGCGCACTTATTGATTTAGAACCGTGCCAGGG